AAACTAAATTAAAATTATAAAAGATATATATAGTAAATAAAATTTAATTATTTTTTTAAATAAAATATTATATAAATAAATATATACATTTCTTTTTTTTATAGTTTTTTTATTAAAAAAAATACTTATTGTTTATTTGATTTCAAATAAACAAAAAAAACTTTAAATAATTTTTATAAGAACTAAACAAAAAAATATATATATATCTAATAAAAAAAAGCTTCTTTTAATATATATATATATATATGTTTAAATCATTATCTTCTTTGATTAACTAATCCAGGAAGGTTAGAAAAACCGATTTTTTTTAGCATTTCTCTAGTATCATTATCAATTATTACTTATTCAACATTAATTGCTGAATTTTCAGGCACAAAATCAAGTCTTCTTTCTCTTTCTTCCTCTTATACTTTCAAGGAGATACCTCTAACTGGTCCTTTTTATATTCTCTTCATTAAATGTGTTGCAAAACCTGCAATTTTATTTCTTAGTCTTTTGGAAGGGACTTGGGCGACTTCAGAGAGGATTTTTTTATTGAAATGAAAATCATTAGTCATTTTTGAAAAATAATGTTCTATTAATGATTTTGCTGCTCTTTTTACAGTTTTAGTTCTTACTCTTCCCATTTTTTTTTTTTTTTTTTATAAAAATATTTTTAAATTGAAAAATAATATATAGATTATTTGTTTTTCGTTAATTAATTTTATATTTATATAAATTTAAGTTTTTAAAAACTTTTATTTATTATGTATTAAAATATGTAAAAGATTTTCAATTTTATAAATAATAATATAATATAGGATTTATATTTTTCAATATAATTAAGCTAATTATGCATTTATTTCTTCTTCAGCATTAGAAGAAGTCATTTTTGCTATAACCTTGAATATTAAAATAAAAATATGAATATAAAAATAAATATATATATATATATATATATATATATATATATATATATATATATTATACCCTAGATTATCTATTAGTATTTTAATTATTAAGTGAACTTACTAAATCTTCATATTATATTTTATAAATATCACATTACTATTATAAATCTAAGATTTCTCTATTTTTATGATGTATTTCTATTGATTAAGTTTCACATTGTTTTTATAATTAATTATATTATTTCAGAACTTATTATAATTCTCTTTAGACATTATCATATGTCTCACGAAGACATAAAATTTCTATTTCTTGACTTTTATTTATATTTAATTATTCTTAATACTAAAAATATATATATATATATATATATATATGTGTGAATATTAAATTAAAATTAAATAATTTTAACTTTTTTTTAAGTAATATTTTTTTAATTTAATGTTTCGAAAATTTCTTAAAGTTGATTTTATTATTCTTGAATATTTTTTTTTAATTATTAATTTTCTTTTTCTAATTTTTATATTTGAAAATTTTGGTTTTCGTTAATATTCTTTTATAATTTTTAAATTAGAATGTTTTATTCGTTTATTTATTAATCCTTTTATAAAATTTAGTTTTCGAGTATATTTATATTTTTTTAGTTTATTTTTTCTTTTTAATTTTAAGGCTCTTATATATATGAATCGTGTTTAATTTTTTAAAAAATGCTTAATTCTTAAGAATTATTTTTCTTTCTTGAATTTGATTTTTTAGATTATTATTATTAAATTGCATTTGGGTTTAGGTTTATTCTACATACTTATGTTTAGTTTTAATTGTTTAAATATGGACTTTTACTAGGAGTTTATAAAAAGTTTTCATTATTGGAATTATTTTAATATTTTATTTCTGAGTTTTATGTTTCAATATTATAATTATTATTATCATATTGTTTTTGTTATTTTTTATCTTTACTTTAATTTTTCGATGTTTATATTAATGAAATTTTTCTTTGAAATTATTTATTTAATAATTTTTTTTTTTTTTTTTATCACTTTTTTTTAGGAGATGTTTATCCAACTTTTTAAGTAAAAAAATCTATATATATTTAAGGACAACTTGGTTTTTGAGATAAGATAATTGATTCTTTTTATAATTTTATTAATTTTACATTTTCTTGACTTATTTTTCTTTTCATTTATATAATGAAATGTTAAATATTTAATATATTTTTATTTAAAAAAAATATAATTAATATAAATAAATAAATGTGAAATAAAAAAAATATATAAAATACATATAAAACATATATATATATATATATATATATATATATATATATATATATATTATTTTTTTCATTAAAACATTTATCTAATAATAAATAAAGTTTATGTAAGTTATTCCTTATTTTTTATAAAATAAATAAATAAAAAAAAGTAAAAATTATATATTTATATATAAATTTTTAATTATATATATGTATATATTTACTTCTAATCTTAATTATTTAACTCCAAAACCACCTTATTATAATGTAAAATTAGCATCAAAATATAATAAAGCATCTTTTCCTGTTATTTTAGAATATTCATCACTATCAACTATACTTTAAAGGTTATTATATCCACTAAAAATAACTAACAAACTATAAAGTTATAATACATAAATAATATTTATTAAAAATATAAATACTTCTTTCCGTTTAAATTTTATTTAATATTATTGTTAAAATTTTAAACATTAAATTATTCATGATCTCCTTAATTAATTAGTATTTTTACATCATATTCTAAATATATATATAAATAATATATATATATATATATATATATATATATATATATATATATATATATATATATACTAATATCATTTTCTCCTTTAAAAACTTAAGTTAAATTATCAGCTAATCTAACTGAATATCCCCAAAATAGTCCCATTTTTTCTTTCGGTTCTTTTTAACTTACAACTTCAGCATTATAGTATTTATTTTAAATATCAAGTGTATCATCTTCTAGTTTTAATGTAATTCTCGTATTCGCAGCTAATCTATAATTTACTTTTGCTTATTTTTTCAAACCGATTTCAACCCAAGAGCTATCTTCTCCGCCTTTTATAGGTCTACTGACTACTACTCCTTCTCTATATTTACAATATTGGTCTTATTTTAGATGATGGTGACATTCTATAGGGTTCATTAAGCCTGCATTTTTAAGATCAGGGTGTATAGGGAACAATTGCTTTCTTAAATATTAAGGAGTTTCCAAGTATTATAAGTTTCGGGCTATATAAGGACCTTATTCGAAATTTGTGGACTTACTCTTATATGAATTATCTTTTAATATTATTATTTCATCAACACAAAATATTGCTGCAGTTCGGGCTAATTCACTATTTATTATTTTTAAAAATATTATTAAGACTATTTTTTTTAAACCTTATAAAATAACTACGAAGTTCGGAAGATTAAGGAATCGATATTATCGAATCAGGAATACATATTGATATTTGATTTAATTTTACTTTAGTAGGATTTTATGAAAAATTAATTATTTAAGGAATTTGTTATTTTTTTTCGTTGCTATTTTTTTAGTCTTTTTTTTTATTTTAAATTTCTGTAGGCTTTAATAAGTTTTATTCTATTTAAAATGAAGAATCGTCTTATATTTCTTCTTATATTATCTCGTTTTAAGGATCTAATTAAATTTATTATTCTTCTTCTTCTTCAGTATCTGAATCTCTAATTATTTTTACTTTCAAATTTGCTTTTTATATAATTTTAAGAGGTTTTTCTATTGAAATAGTTTATTCTTATTTGGGTTTTTTTATTTTGTGTATTTTTTGTAATTTTCTTTTTTTGTAAACTAAAAAGTCCATTTTTTTATTTTAATTTTATATCTATTTTTTTATATTAAATTAATTTTTTTTTTTTTTAATTAAATTCTAAATATTTAATTTCATTTAAAAAATAATATTAAAAAAAAAAAAAAAAAGATTATATTATTTAAAATTGAAATTAAATTATTTATTTATATTTAATAAAAGTTGTTAAAAAAAAAAAAAAAGTACGGGTATTAATTAATCAACAAAAATATATAGAAAATAGTAAAAATACATTAGTATATTAAGTACATATATTATTTTATTTATTTATCTTTTAATTTATCAAATTTATTTATTTTATATTTTATTTATTTGTAATTAATAAAAAAAATGTTAAATAATAATTAAATTTCTGATATACTTAAAAAAAATAAAAAATAATATTCATATTTATTTTTTTATTTTATGATAATTAATAATCAGGCTCTAAAAACTTAAGAAGATATGTTTTAATTTTTATGGTTTTAATTAATATTTATATTATTAAAACTTTAATTTATTAAATTCGGATCTAAATTTATTTATTATTATTTAATTTATTGTTACTACATAAAGTTATTAGAAAGATCAATATGATAAATTTAATTATTATAATCTTATTAATCTTAATAATCCAATAAATCTTATTAGTATTAATAATCTTATTAAACTTTGTAAATTTATTAATCTTATTAATCTTATTAATCTTATTAACCTTATTAACTCTATTAAACTTTTAAATCTTATTAAACTAATTAATCCTATTAAACTTATAAATCTTATTAATCTTATAAAACTTATTAATTATTAAGTAAAAATAATTGTTAATTTTAACTACCAATAAATTCTTATTTTATTAAATCATTTAAATAACCATTTATGTTATGATTATCATGAATAAAATTATTTTAATGTATATCAGCATATTAATCAATATTGTTAAATTATAAATTTTTTAATAATTTACTTTCTACTTCTAATTTATATGTTTATTAAGATTATTATTATTAAATAGATGATTATTTTGTATTTTATAAAAATTCGCCATGAACTCTAAAAATATGCTCTTTTAAACTTTTTTTATGTAAATAATCTGAATTACAATTTTCATAATGACATTTAAAGTCTTTTCTTTTATAATGAAAAGTTCTAATATGAGTTTTAAGATTAGAAATCTTTTAATAAAAATATAAATATTTAAATATACAAATAGATATAAATAGATGTATATATATATGTAATTTTACTTTTGTATAGACTTTATCACAATTTTACTCATTACATTTATATAATTTTTCATTTTTAGTAGTTTTTTTAGTTAATTTTTAATTTTTTTTCTAATCATTTACTTCTTCTTTTTTAATTAAATATTTTTATTGCTTATTTAATTATATATCTTATATATATTATTATTATTATTATTATTATTATTATTATTATTATTATTATTATTATTATTAAAAAATTTAACTATAAGATTATTATTAAATTTGTATTTATTATTATTGTACAATCTATTATTAAGAATTTAAATTATATATATCTTAATGAAACCCAATACCGTTAAAATTATTATTATTTTCAAAAATTATTTTATTATTTATATTAAAATAATCTTCTTGTATTTTATTTTTACCTTCAAAAAATGAAGTTTTTCTACTTTAATTTTCTATAAAAATTTATTTAAATATTGTTATATTATCAGCTACATCAGAAATACTATTTTTTCTTTCTTTTTCATTATTAATTTATATTTCATTTACTTTGTTTTTATTTTATTCATAATTTTTTTCTTCTTTAAATATTTAATTTGCCTCTATTTCTTTATTTATATAAAAATTAGCATTTTCTTAATATTCAGAACAAAATTTTTTGTTTTTCTTTTAATTTTCTAATTAATTTTCTTCTTAAATTTATCTTTTTTCGCATTAGTATTCTCTATGAAATTTAAGTTCTTCCTAACTAAAATATTACTTTTTACATAAAATACAGTCTAAGGGTTTTTTAAAACCATGTATGCTAGTCAAATGCTTATTTAAAGATACTTTTTTAGGAAATTTGGCATCACAATTTGGACATATATATTAGTATTCTTCCATATGAATTATTTTTATATGCCTTATTAAATGGTGTTTACATGTAAATGACATATAGCAGCCTTAAAAATTACATTTATGAGGTTTTGGATTGTCTGTATGCGATATAAAGTGCCTTTTTAAATGAGAATTTCGTTTGAAATTCTTTCCACATTCATGACAAACATATGATTTTATGTTTAAATGAGTTTCCCTGATGTGTCGATTTAGTTTACTATTTTTAGCGAAATATTTATTGCATTTGTCGCATAAAAAATGCATTATTAAATTCTATTTTTTTTATAGTAGGAATATTTTTTTATTAAATATATTATATATTTATTTAATTTAAATTTAGATTTTTTAATTTATATAAAAAATATAATATATATATGTATAGAAACATATACATAAATATGTATATATATATATATATATATATATATATATATATGTATATATGTATATATGTATATATGTATATATTTATATGTAATATTTTAAATTATATTTTTAATATATATAATGTTTTCTTATATATACTACTTTTTTTTATTTTTATTATTATTTTATATTATTATAATTTTAAATATATTTTTATATATTAATTTTTTTATTTTTATTTTTGTTTATTTTTACTTTTATTCATATAAATTATATATTTTTTTATATTATTATAAATAAAAAATATTTTTAATAACAGGCCCCCACCATTTAAAAAAGATATTTATTTTCTAAATTAATATAATTTAAATAACAAAATAATTTTTTTTTTCAATTTATATAAATTATCTAAATATGAATAATTTTTTTAATTTTTTTATTTATTGACATATTCAAAATATGTATTATTTTAATATTTTTTTTTTTTAATAATTTTATAATGACTTTTTAAAAATAAATATAATATTTTTTGTTTTAAAAAAAAATAATAATAAAATATTAGAATAATTTATATAAATATATAAACATATATAAATATATAATAATTTAATAAATTTGTGTAACATATAATAAAATATAATCATTTTTTAAATTAATTTTTTTAAGGCAAGAACTCATCGTATTATTATAATTTTTTAGAAATAGTATATAATTCTTTTAAATAATCTTCCATTCTTGAATTATGTAATTCTTTCATAGCTCTAAAGCATAATTTAGCCTCTTCTAAATCTTTAACTTCTAAATTATCAATTTTTTCATTCATATATTAGTCAACCTTAGTTAAAATTTAATCTAAATCATAATCGTCGTCGTCTTTATAATCTAAATTATCATTATTTTCATAAAATTTACAAGATTGTTTTTATTCTTCGAGTTGATAATTATTTATATCGCCAACAATTTATTAATATTTTTACAATTCTCTAATAAATTTTTTTATTTTATATAAAAAAAAAAAAATACTAGATTAATTATTTTTTCTCAACTTATAATTTTTAAACAGTTTATTTTAAATCTACTTTTTCATTAACATGAATCTATATAAAAGAAAAAATTAAAAAATATTGAAAAAAATTAATAATATATAAATATAAAAATAAATATATACATAATTAAATTTACAATGAATATTAAAAAAATTATATATAATAGAATATATATATATATGTTTTATATATATATAATATATATTTTTATATATTTTTTTATTTTAATACTTCATTTTCCAATTATCCTACCCTTTACGAAAATCTTAAAGCTGATAAAGTTTCTTCGTAATTATCCATATCCATAGATACAGTGCATACCATAACAGTTTTGCAATTTCCTCCTAAAGAATCTTTTAATAAAGTAGTCAAAATTGATTATCTATAAGGTATATGTTATCTAAGTCTATTTTTTTTTTTTTCATTTAAAGTTACAATAACTTATTCTAAATAACTTAATGATAAATTTATATATTTTGCTTCGTTTAAAAGTACCCCATCATGATTTGTTTTTGATGTTCTCTCAGATCCCGCTAAATCCACTAGATTTAATTTCGAAACAAAGCATGTATTACTTTCTATATGTTTAACCTCGAAAGTTAATGTAAATATACAATGTGAACGCGATGAATTTTAGTTCATTGGTGTTGCTGCTTATTTTCTTATATAGTTTCCCATCATTAATAAATCTATACCGGGTTTAGCATCATCTATTTCATGTAATGATATATTATTTAAATGTATATTTCCCTAATTATCTCTTTTAAACTCAATCTATTTTTTAATTTTTTTATTTTTTTATTTTTAAATTACTTTATTCCACTATTCTATAGGAGTTATTAAATGATCTTCGTTTAATAAATTATAAGCTTTTTCGTTATAAATTTCCATATAGGATACATATACTCTATACTCGTATTAGTTTTATCTTTAATCTATTTAATCAAATACATAAGACATTACTCTTGGTATTATTCCTCTATTTACCCATTATTCTAAATATATAAATATAAATAAATTAAATATATAAAAATATATATATATATATATATATATATATATATATATATATATATATATATATATATATATATATATATAAATACCTGAACCACTTATTGTATATGTTTTTCCTGATCCTGTTTGTCCATATGCAAATATTGTACCATTATATCCATCAAGGCAACTTTTTTTGTTTTTAATTATTTTTTATTTCAAATAATTAAATACTTTTATACAACTGGTATTGCTACTTGGTTAAATACTTAATCTTATGTAGTATTATAATCTAAAATATCTGCAAAATTATATTCGAATGTATCCTTTTTTATTTTTAATTTTTTTTTTTTATTAGTTTTTTACTTTATTGTTGTTTATAATTTAATTTCGATTTAATTTTGAACCAATAAATAATTTTTTGTTTTGTTTATCAATATCGAAAGGAATTTCTTTATTATCGCTTTTTTTATAAAAATAAATAAATTTTTATTAATTTTTTTTGTTAATTTACTGAGGTTTTAGTCTTGCATAAACTTATAATTATGATTTCATTTTTTTATATTTTTTTTTTTTAAAAAAAAAAAAAATTATATATTATATATTTTTTTTTTATTTATTTTTAAAAAAAAAGAATTTTTAAAATTTAATAAAATATTTTATTTATTTAAAAAATAAAATAAAAAATAGATTTGATTTTTAATATAAATTTTAATGTATTTTATATAAAAATAAATTTAAGTTTAAGAATTTTAATTTATAAAATTTTATTTACAAAAAAAAATAATTATTTTTTAATAAATTAAATAATGATTGATGATTATCATATAAAAAAATTCAAATTTTATTAAATATATAAGTTATTTGTTTATATTAATTATTTTATAATAAATAAATATACTTATTCAATATTCTTTATAAACCTTTAATAATAATAACGAGAAAAAAAATTATTTTTAAAATATTATTTATATGAAAAAATAATAAAAAATAATTAAACTAATAAATATTAATTTAAATAGAATTTTAAAATTAAAAAATAATCATATATTTATAAAAAAATTAATAATTACTTGATATAAAATAAATAACGATATCGTTTTTCTGTTTTTTCATTTCCAGTTTTAATTATAGATTACATAAATATATAACTTTATATGTTTATGATAATTAAAGAAATTAAATAATATTTCTTTAATAAAATTCATTATTAAAATAAAGTAAAAATAAAATTATAATAAGGATTAGTTATTTTATTTGCTATTTTATAATATAAAAGAGATTTTAAATATATTTAAACAAAAATATATTAAATAAACTAAAATATTTAATAATAAATTAAATTATTACATTATTTAAAATAACTTAGAATTAAAATGATTGCAATAATTTTATAAAGTATTATTATTTTTATATTTATTAAATAAATTAATTATTTATAAAAATTTATTTAATCTACTATAAAAAATAGTAAATTTTCAAAAATAATTACTATATTAATATGAAGTCTTTAATATTAGAAAAATTTTATAATGTTTTTATTAATAAAGAAATATTTAATAAACATAATTATTTTTAATAAAAAAAAAATATATTAAAAAATTAATTTAAAAAAAAAAGCAAAAAAATATAATAAAAAAAATAATAATAAATATTTTAATAAATAATTTATGTAAAAATAAATAATATAATATAAAATTAAAATATAATATATATATATATATATAATATATATATAATTTTTATTTTTTTACTATTAATTATATTTATAGACTATAATTATAATTAATGTTACAAATATTACTAATTAAATATTATTTTAATATTGATATTTTTTATATTTTATATTTATTTTATAAATTAAAATATATATATATATATTTATATATATATATATATATTATTTATTTTCAATATTTATTATTATTAATATATAAAAATATTTTTATTTATTAAAAAATTTATTAAAAGAAAATATTTTATTTTTATAATCTATTAAATATTCCAAAAAAAAAAA